ATGACTGTTACACATATAAAATTTATATGTTACCAATCCAATAATATATTGTTTTAACTATTACCATATAAGCTTATGTCTTTCAAAGAGCTGAGAGAAGAGAGTAAAAGATTATATATTTATATATTTTAATGTTAGCCTTCTTAACTTTTTTTGTCCTCTTTCTTTCTACCTGCTGATTTGTTAGCCTCCTGTGTCAACTCCTTACTCCAAACTCTGATACAGCTTTATTTCTGCCTCTTTTGTGCTGTTATTGTCAAGTATATTACATTTCTGTATGTTATTATCCCAGTAATATAAGTATTTATATATCATTTTAGGGATTTCCTTTTTTTAAACCAGTCAATAAAGAACAAATAATTGCACTGTGTTTGGCTTATTAATTTACCTCAAATTACATTTACTGGAGTTCTTGGTTTTTGTTTGTTTTTTTAAGATTTTATTTATTTCATTTTTACAGAGAGGGAAAGGGAGCGAAAAAGAGAGGGAGAGAAACATCCATGCATGGTTGCCTTTCGCACACCCGCTACTGGAGATCTGACCTGCAACCCAGGCATGTGCCCTGACTGAGAATCAAACCTGTGACCCTTTGGTTTGCAGGCTGGTGCTCAGTTCATTGAGCCACACCAGTCAGGGCAGTTCTTGGTATTTTTATGTGGATTTGAATTACTGTCTGTTGTCACTTACCACTTATTTTCAGTCTGGAAAACTTCCTTTAGTATTTATTGTAAAGCATATCTACTAGCATTGAATTGTTGTTTTGTTTTGTTTTTTTTAACCTAGGGCAATCTTTAATTCACCTTAATTTTGAAAGTTAGTGTTTCTAGATATAAAATTCTTGTCTGACAGTATTTTTTTTTTACATTTAGCACTTTGCATATGTCATGCCACTACCATTTGGCCTTTATTTTTTTCTTTTTAGAAGTCATCATTAAGTCGTACTGGGATTACCTTATTTGTGATTAGTCATTTATCTCTTGCTGCTTTCAAGAATTTCTGATTGTCTTTGGCATTCAACATTTTCACTATAAAATGTCTATTTGTGAATTTCTTTGTGTTTATAGTATGTGTATTTCATTAAGCTCCAAGCTTGTTGAATATGTTTCTGTCAGTTCCTGCAGGGCCTGACAGAATTTCAAATCCACATAAAAATACCAAGAACTGTCCTGACTGGTATGGCTCAATGGACTGGGCACCAGCCTGCAAACCAAAGGGTCACAGGTTTGATTCTCAGTCAGGACACATGCCTGGGTTGCGGGTCAGATCTCCAGTAGGGGGTGTGCGAGAGGCAACCATGCATGGATGTTTCTCTCCCTCTCTTTTTCCCTCCCTTTCCCTCTCTTTAAAAATGAAATAAATAAAATCTTTAAAAAAACAAAAAACAAAAATGAAGAACTCCAGTAAACGTAATTTGAGGTAAATTACTCATTTTATTATCAAGAAAATTTGGCTCATCTACATTGTAAGTCCAACCCCTGAAGGAATTTTTGAGAGTGGATGTGAATTGAGCTTGAATCACAGGTGTGAGTAAGCAGGTCCACGTGACAGAAGGGGAATAGATGATTTTTCTTTCACAATATATGTGATTTCAATATCTCTATAAGCACTAAACTTATAACTTCTTGAAAGAATTTTGACTATTAACCAATGATTTTGCAGCATCTCCTGTATATGTGGTCTTATCACAACTTGTGTTTTCTGTACTCTGATACATACCTTCTGTAATTCGTTAAATAATGGCCAAAGATTGGAATTTGTAAATGTTACCCTGTTTGGAAAAAAAAGTGTCCTTATAATAGATATAATAAGAACTTTGATATAAGATTACCCTGGATAATCTGACTGGGACTTAAATGGCATCATATAACATGGGTCCGTATAAGAGAGAGATACACAGAGAAGAGAAACATTAGAGAAGAAGGTAATGTGATGTGACCTCCAGCCACGGAACACTGGTGACCACCAGAAGCTGGAGGAGGCAAAGAACGAATGTTCCCCAGAGCTTCCAGAGGGAATGCCACTCTACCAACAGCTTAATTTTGGATTTATGGTCTCCAGGACTATGAGAGAATACATTTATCTTGTTTTGTGGTAATTTGTTAGAGAAGCCACAGGGAATTAATATATAATTCTAGCAATATTTATGCTATATTTTCTGTACTAGACTGTAAACTCCACAAAGACTTGGATTACCTTTCCATTTATCTTGTAAAACAAGATACATTTATCTTGTTTTGTGGTCATTTGCTACAGAAGCCACAGGGAATTAATATATAACTCTAGCAATATTTGTGCTATATTTCCTGTACTAGACTGTAAACACAAAAACGTGGATTACCTTTACATTTATCTTGTTTTGTGGTCATTTGCTCCAGAAGCCACAGGGAATTAATAAATAACTCTAGCAATATTCGTGCTATATTTTCTGTACTAGGCTGTAAACGCCACAAAGACTTGGATTACCTGTCTCATACACCTTGATAATTTCAGCACTCAGCAGAGGGTCTGGCAGTACTTTGTTGCTGTGGAACACTTGTTGAAGGAATAACCACTGAGTCCTGTAAGACACAACTTTCCAGGCTGTTCACTGCCATGGCCCCTGCAGCTTCTCTGTATTCTGACTACATGTTGCTCTGGCATAATAAGCAGTGAGAGATTATTTATGTGGCCTCATACAGAAGAATGACAGAAGAGATGATAGGGGAGAAAAGTGGGAAAGATTGGAAACCTAGTAAGGATCCACATGTGTCATAATTTGTGGGGGAGCGCTTCACATTTAACAAAGATAAAATGCCTGACAATTTGGCCTATGTACAACTTCACATGTGCCAGGTCTGTCTGGGAAAAGTCCGGCCATTATTAAATATGATGAGAATGGTTTGTGTGACATCAGTGTAACCTGGTAGCCAAGGGGCGTGGACTGGAATGTGCATGCCTGGAACGCGCATAACAATTTCACTGCACTAGTCTGTGGGGGCGGTAGATGCTGCTGAGTGAGCATGTGTACTGTGCGGCTGTTGCATTCAACACGACTGAGCAAGTAGAGCAGTGAATCTGCATCAAATTTCGCATTAAGCTTGAACATTCCTCTGTGGAAACTATTCAGATGATTCAGAAGGCCGCAGCTGTGGGCAACAGGTGATTGGCAGCTTCATCATGACAATGTGCACACTCATGCATCACATCTCATGCAGTTTTTTGGTGAAACATAAAATCACCCAGGTGACTTAGTCTCCCTATAGCCCAGATTTGGTGCTCTGTGACTTTTGATTTTTCCGAAACCAAAATCACCTTTGAAAGGGAAGGGGATTTCAGGCTGTTGATGAGATTCAGGAAAATATGACAGGGCAGCTGATAGCAATTGGGAGAACTGTGTGAGGTCCCAAGGTGCCTACTTTGAAGGGGATTTAGGTGCCATCATCCTGTGTACAATGTTTCCTGTATCTTCTGTTCTCTTCAATAAATGTCTCCATTTTCCACAGTATATGGCTGGATACTTTCTGGCCAGGCCTCATCTAGTTATTTGAATATGCTGTTTTAGGCACTGCTATTTCTGAGGCCTATTGTAAATCAGGAAAAAAAAACAACCAACCACCCAAATAATAATAATAATCATACTAACAAAAAGTACCATGTAACTTGCTTTCAGTTCTACAGTGAGCCAAGTCTGCTGGGACTATTGTTCAAAGAGGTTCTTGCCATTTGACTCATTGACTGCATAATAATTTTGCAGAGGTTAATCACCCCTTTGTGCAGGAAAGTCATGTTGCAGCAATGTGAGATTACATTTTATTCTTATCTCATTCCAAACTTCTTTCTTATTCTTTTCTATCATCTATGGGAGCTGTTGGCTGTTTGCTGCATTTCCCTCTGCCATGGCTGTTGTCCTGCTTGAATGAATTACCACTCGTGTCACATTCTAATTCTTTCAAGAAGCTACTCCGGGCCCTGGCCAGTGTGGTTCAGTTGGTTGGAGCTTTGTCCCATGGCTGAAAGTCTGCCGCTTCGGTCCCTGGCCCAGGCACCTATGATTCTCCCGATTAGGGCAAGACGCATACGGGAGGCAACCAATTGATGATTCTCTCTTGCAGGGATGTCTCTCTCCCTCTCTTCCTGTTTCTCTAAAAAGTAATGAAAAAATGTCCTCGGGTGAGGGTAAGAATTAATTAATTAATTAATTTACAAAGAAGCTCTTTCAACAAGAGGTGATATCTTTGTTCTCCCAACTCCTATTTTGTTTATATTTTTATCATGGTCATCAAAATGATAAGTGTTCACTATATGCCAAATATTGGGATACATCCTTTACGTATATTATTTAATTCTTACAGTTCTGTTAAGTGGGCTCTATTATCTCTGTTTTCCAGTTCAGAAAACTGAAATTTAGAGAGGCTTAAGTGATTTGTATAAAATACACAACTTCTGATTAGAGGATTTAAAGTTCATACCTAGATAGGTATGAGCTCATATTTTTAACCTTTAACACATGCTGTTCCTTATTTTAATACTGATAGCATAATAATGCATCTTCTTTCCTAGATTATATAATATTTAAGGATAGAGATTCCATATTTTGTATTTTTCTAATAACTTTGTGTATGTAGGAACTCAGTAAATTTTAATTGGATGAGTGAATCAATATCTAGGATGAAATTATTATAATAAATTGTTACTGGGCCTTAAATACATATTAGAATAATTTAAGTTATACTGTTGGCTATAAAGAAGTCATGAAAACTTAAAAAGATAGCCTTTGTGGGTAAGCATGATTAGCGGTGTCAAATAACTTTTTTCATGTTTCTTAAAGTTCTCCATGTAAATAACATACAATATGATGAGGTATTTCTTCATGATTTAAAAAAATTTTCTATCTTTATGCTATAGTTCAGTTTATGAGAATGTTTTTGTTTAATCAACTTCATGTATTAACTTTGTGTTAAATGCACTTTTCCTTTTTTTACTAATTCTGTGGGGTTTTTTCTTTTTGATTTCATTTCCAGGATGGCGTAGGGGTAGATGAGAAGCTGTCCTTACGGCAGGTAGCTGTGGTTGAAGATTTCTTTGACATTATCTATTCGATGCACGTGGAAACAGGGCCAAATGGAGAACAAATTCGGAAACATGCCGGACAAAAGAGAACTTACAAAGCAGTAAGTTAAAAAGACATAACAAAGGCATGCATTTTGAAACTTGGTATTATGAATACTTATTAAAAATGGATTAAATAATTATAACTATTCTATCTTCAACATAAATGAGACCATATCATGGTCAAACCCAACATTTAACTTTGATTGAATTATTACTGATTCTATTTTGGCCATATGTTCACCAAGTATATAATTTAAACCTGTCTCTAGGGTTCTCATATTGTTTTCTTTTAAATATATATAATACGTGGTAGTCCCAGTCAAATGCCCACAAATGGGAAGATACATTTGTGTTATTATTCAGTGTATCATGCTATATCAATTATGGACTGGAACATACGAACTTTTGTACTACCACCGCAGTCGTAACATTCCTTCCCCTTCAAATCATATTAATATGTTTAAGTATTTCCTATTTAATACTTATGATCACATGAATAAGAAAACATTATGTAGTTTTTAAATGTCTCCTTATATAAATATATTTGTACCAAAGGGTATACATTTCTTAATTTTCCAGAATAGACTATTAAAAGATATATGTTTTTATAGATTAATGCCCTTGAAAATTTTTAAGTGGATATATATAATGTTTTTTCCATAAATTATATGAAAAGCAGATTTAATTCTTAGATATTAAAATATATTGTCAAAATGGAGTTATATATTATTTCTAAAGTGTCTAATTATACTTACAGTCTGATCTAGACACTTTAATCTAGCTTATTTAATTAAACAGTTTATGAAATCATCTTAACATAGATATTTCATCCTTTCTAGGAAAATTGAACAGTAAATTAATCTTTTTCAATATAAGCAAAATATACATCAGAAGTACTTTATCAACAATCAGAATAATATCTTTTTTTAGAATTCTTATTGAACTTTGCTTTTGGCTGCCTTTATATTAACTGTTTTCAGCTATATTGATACACAATATCAGTCTGGATCCATTTTTTTTTCAGATACAGAAAAATGTGTGAAATGCTCAAAGTTTCAAATACAGGTACATATGTTTGAAATTAGCTACTGAGCATAAGAAATAGCTTCTTTTCCATAACTATTTTTTGCTATATTTCCAGGGTCATATTGAATCTTTGTAGTTGCATAATAACCCCTAATACATGTTGTATTTATCTCTCCTTCTCTATGGTTTTGTTTCTTGGCTGTTTCCAAATTGCATGGTTTGTGGGCAGGCACTACTGTAAGTTTCCTTACATAATTCTGCCACATAAACTTTCTTTTGACTTACGTATCTCAGGAGACACTCTTATCATGACTAATGGCAATGATCTATCTTCTTTAGGATATTTTTATGTAGACTAATATTACTGAACATACTCATATCGCCTGTCTCCTAAGCCAGGGTTTTATCTCTGGATGGCAATAGGAAAATAATTGTATATTGATCTACTAATATCACTAACTATGTATTCTTATGATAGTTTATTTTCACAAAATAACTACCTGAACTTGATAGGACTCTGTAAGGTAGACATACATAAGTTTAACTGTATTAAATGAAAAACAAACAAGAAATGAGTGGCTTCATTGTCTGTACTAGTATGGCAGCCAAATCTGATTAGGTGTCAAAAGCAATTTAAAATAATTTAATCTTTCCAATGCGCAAGTTAGAGATTTTTAACTACAGAAACATGAGCCAATGAGATAGGCCCAAGTATATCGCTTTTTGTTTTCTTAACTGAAAGGTAGAGAATCTGATCCATTCCCATTTTGCATGCTAAACACTCCTAGTAAATTGGTAAACAATGTTTTTTACATATGTCATTTTGCATTAACATTATGAAGATGTTTTCTGCATTTTAGGATAGGGGTATTACTTTTAAAGTATAAGCAGCATCTGAAACATCATTCTCTCTTGAGAACATTCTATTTAGAGATCCTTCTCTTTCCAAAGTTTATTTTTATTTTCACATCTAGAGTGTTTTCATCTTTTCCTAATATCATGAAGGTTCTTTTTGGCTTAACCTTTTACCTTCTGGCATATCTAAATTGAGTCCTAATTAGAAAACATTTCCATTTTGTGGAGTAATAACTTATTATAGGAAAGAAAAACGCTGCAATGCTAGCAAAACTGCACTTGACTCTACAACAAACTTAAGTCTAATGTTAAAAATTAATATAAATGTTCAATTAATGAACATAAAACTAAGTGCAATTTGAGATGGAATAGCTTAGTGCTATTAGGTCCCTAGACTATTGGGTCAGAGTTTAGTTCTCAATACTAATACTGGAATTGGCTAGATGTTAGTAGAATTAGCTAGATACCTATTGCACTTATAATGGTTTTATTAGGTTTAAGATTTTTTTTCTACTTCTAACACATTAGCTCATAGCGCATGCATGATTATGATTATTGACCTTCTCTTTCTTCCTTTTGCTACATGGCCAAGAAACCATACTTATACAACTAATCATTAAAGCGTGTCATATTGTCTTAATAATATTATCAATAGATTTAGTGGTCATTTTATTTACTTTGCCTATTTTGCAAATCTTTCTATGTTTTCACTCTGCAGGAAATGGTGGTCCTTTAATATTGGATTAACTTTTGAATGCTATTTGTTTTTACCTATCTGCAGTATATCATTCCTTGAAATATCTAGGCATTATATAACTTAAATTTTATTGCAAACTGATCTGACTATATATAAAATTGGAGGGTATATGTTCTTTGAAAAAAATCCACATAAAATGACACATTTTAGGAATATGCAAAGGCTATCATAATCATTATTTTCAGTCATGTTGAATTCTAGTGCCTTAGGTCTTTTCTCTGTATTTGTCACTGTCTCCATATTAACTGTAATTGGTGCATTGAATGTGTTTTCTTCAATATACTTCACTACAGTAAACTCTTGATTATTTACATTAACAGAGTGGATCATTCAATTGTATATATTTGAATTTAAATTATTTCTTTGTACTGAAAATTGAATGCAGGTACTTACAATTTGGAGAGTCACTGAAAAATGAATGATGCAACATTATGAAAAAGCTAATGTGGGATGTTGTTTTGTCTTCCAGTCTTTAACTCTTTTCAGCTTCTGCCTGAACTCCACCTTTGGGGCATACATCACTTTTCTCTGCTGTCTTTTGTCACTTGTATTCTATCACAGGCTAAGCATAGGTGCTTTTCAGACTTTTTTTAAGTCAGGGCATCATTAAAGGATTAAGTTTTAAGGCTCTTTCTTGAAACAAACATGGAAAATTAGAGTAACTGGTGGAAATCCAGGAACTAAAAGGGAAAGAGTATTTTCAATAGAACAGTCTGCATATATATTTGTATATGTACACACCTACACAAGTTGCAGTGTGATACAGTGAACTTACATGTATTACTCACATATATAGTTGCCAATAATTACATTAGCTTAATTCAGAGTGGAGAGTACATGCTGTAACTAAAACAGGCTAGGAGCCAGACCCACTCAATGTCAGACTTCAAATCTAGCACTTCCTATCTGTGCTACGTTAGGCAATTATTTACTTTTTTTTTTCTCTTTCTATCTAGAGGGAGATAATAATATGCGTGGTATAGTAAAATAAATGAGTTAAGATGTGTGAAGTGCTTGGGATATGGTAAACTTTTGCATACTGTTATTTCTCCTTCTTTATCCAATGTATACACATGTTCCAGGTAGGAGGACAAACAGGACAGGTAACACAGGTCTATCACTGCCTTAATTATTTATAGATATAATTTCCTCTGCCTGCACCAGGCCACTGCGTTGGGAGATAGGAATGGTAATGACCTCTGCATTTTTTGATGTGCGTCCTGTAGATGTCACTGTCTCTCAAAGTCCACAGTGGAACTTTCATCCAAGGTTTGACGGGGCTGACAGAAAACTAGAAAGAAGGCCAGAGTTCCCATGTTTAGGAGCTCTCTTTGCTAGATTAAGTTTACGGGAATGTTAGTTATTTCATTTGCTTTTCACAGAGATTAATTCTGTTCAGCTAACTTTCCAAAAAATTTATAAACTGGTTTTATTTAAAGAACTTGTTTTTAATATTTATTGAATATATCTTTCTAGAGGCATACTATAAAAAAATAATATATCAAGCAGAATTTCTACTTTCCTGCTCTGGAAATTAAAAAGGCAAATCTTTATTCTATCAGATCAAGGACAATCAATCTTAAAATTTCAACTAGCATCATTTTTGTCCTTACTAAAAAAATAAATCCCTATTGGTTCAACATCTCTACTGCTCAATAGGATATTTTAATTTGCACTAGTTTCTGCTACCTTGCATTGTAAAATTTCCCAGAATTCTTGTCAACATTCAGTGAGACTAATGAGCAAAATTTGTAGCCATTTTGGTGAAAATAGCACTAAACTATAATCCAAGAGTTCCAAACCATTAATTTAACCTCTGTTTGGCTTGGGCCACAGTTTACTCACATATAAAGTGAGAGGGTTATATTTCAGTTTTCTTGACACTCTGGCATGTTCCCTCACTGGGAATTGAACCAGTGACCTTTCACTTGCAGGGAATGATGCCCAACCAACTGAGCCACACCAGTCAGGGTCAAGACACTGCCTTTTTAAAGCAGATGACATTGTTTACTTCACTTTATTATTTCAAACTAGAGTGGCTTAAATAAATAACTGTTCTGGATATCGAATAGAGATAAAAACTTACAATTATCCTAAATTTAAATGTTTTTATAGACATCCTTTGAGTTCCATGATACTATTATACAGTAAGCCAGTGATTTAGAAGTATATTTTATAACTAGTTAGTCTTGGAGAGTTTATGAGTATAAAACATTAATTAATTATAGGTATTTTATGATACTTTTGTGAGGTTCCTTTTGTGTGGTTGTTTTTCCTTTTTTAATGGCTAGAGTAGGTGTTAAAAATATCATATAATCCCTGATGGTAGGAGGCCATGCCTGTTTCTCATGTCACTGTGTAAGGACACCTTAGCAAAAGACCTGTCTTGTAATAGGTACCCAGTAAGTACTTTCTGAAGGA